TTCTTCCCTTTGTTGACCATTTCTTGCGTCTTCAGAACTTGTGCCTTCCGGGTGGCTTCAATCTGCTCGGCTGCTTGCTGCTCAGTAAGCCGGGCCTTGCTTCTAAGACCGCCTCTCCTGATCAGCTGCATTTGCACCGCCCAGTCAAGAGATTCCCACTTCGGAGCGGTTCCGTGAGCATGGGGGCAAGTTCCCGGTCTTGCGCAGCCCTTGTGACACATGTGGTCCCAGCATAGGTATCGGGCTCCCATCTTCTCTTTGGGACGGTGATCCAACGCCCGAGCAGCTTCCTTGTTGGTGAGAGGGGGCCCGATGAAGGGTTTGCTCTGGGTATCTACCTTTCCCGGCTTTGGCCCCGGGCGCGAATCGCACGCCTCGGGTCCTTCGCCGGCCTTCCCTCCATGCAAGGTTCCGATACCCCCAGGGGTCTTTTTTAAGGCGACCTGCCAACAGGCTCTTGACAACAGCCGGTTGTGCCTTGGAAGAACATCCGTCTGGAAATACTCAAGGGGGTCCTCAAGGAAGAAGGTTCGAGGCAATCTCAGCCAGGGCTCTCCGTCTTCTCCAGGCGCGGTCACGAAGAAACGGATTCTCTCGAAGGTAGGGGATTCCTCCTTCATAGCCCTCCTGAGTTCTCGGTCAAGGTCCTTGAGCTCTTCCACATACCTCGACCAGAGTTCTTCCCAAACGCTGAAGATAGCGTGCGCGGGCCACATGTACGCGTGCTCCTCTCCCAGCTTCAGCAAAAAAGTTGCCGCTTGCTCGAGAGATGCGTAGTGTTCCGTGCCATACACACAGGCTATTGCCCAAGCTTCTCGGAGTGCATTGCGGTACCAAGCGTTCAGCGTCATGGGGGGCTTGGGCCGTTTCTCCAACTTGAGGTCTGAGCATCCAATCCAGCCATCGAACTCCTCTTCTGAGGTCAGAGGGAAATCGGCCGCTGAAAGACAGTACTCCGGCACTGCCTTTGCGTCCTTTCCCCTGATGTTGAGAGACGCCAAGCCGTAGGCGATCCGGTTGTTGATGTTGACGGGGAATTGCATCATCCGAAGTTGTGGTCTGCCTTGGGTAGAAGTGGACCTCAAGGAATGGAACAACTCCTTACCAACTGTCGCCTTCCCCAATGAAACGGTCAAGGCATCACATCCTCGCACCAAGAAGATGAGCCTTTCCTCCACCTTTCCGATGGAAGCCAACTTTCCCTTGTCATGGCTAGCCGCTTCATCCTTGGAGGTCACCGCTCGTGCAATGGCCTGCAACGCCTTGGTGGTCTCGTCCGTGTGCAGCGGTTCACCGTCAGTGTAAGCCCCTGCGCGCCGAGGCCTTGACACTGCAGCGAAAGATGCATAGGCGTCCCGAGGGTTAGTGGCTCTGAGCTCTGGCATACCCAAAGGCAGCGTTGCGGTGCCTCTAGGGCGGTACAAGCTGGCTGCGCTGGGGGCTACCGAACGGGACGACGCTCGAGAGCGTGGAAGGACTTCAATAGGCCGCTCAGTGGCATCTTGTTGGTCTTTTCCCTTCTCCTGGGGGGCTGGAGACCAATGTCCAGGACTGGGTCGCCACTAACGTCCGGTTCCCACTCTTGCAAGGGACAGTCTTCCGTCACGAGGTTGACTATTGCCTTCCTGGCCTATGTCGGGTAGTCTCGAGGGAGCCTGGCCACGTAAGCAGTGGCCTGTTCCTTCAACTCTTCCCAGGTCTCTCTTGGCCCACAGTCCGCTTTGGCACAAGCTCGAAGAGCCTCGGAGATCCCTTTCCCTTCGAGGATAGCTCGCAAGTATTGGCCCAGGGAGGTAGGCTGGGTTGCCCGAGGAAGCACTTCCCGCGAATTCTCAGTCTCGACTCCGGGCGCGAAACGCGCCTCGGAGTCGGACATACCCGCAGGGGGGCTTGCGGCGGCTTTGGGTTTAGTGCCCCTTACTTTAGCTGAGGGCTTGGGTTTCTCTTCCTTGGCCCCATGGAGTTTGCACAAACGCAAACCGCCCTTCGTCGCTGTCACCTCTTTGTTACATCCTTCATAAACACAAGTTCTCTTGGCCGCCTGTCCCTCATACAAAGCTCGATGGTGGTGGCAGCATCTAAAATAGAAATTTCCATCTTCATGCTTCAGATCCTCCGCGCTACTCACCTCGGCGTCGGAGGCCAAGAGCTTCACTTTGTTCCCCCTAGCTGCATCCTTGCAAGGGGCGAAAGACAGGGGCATCGCTTTGCCGTTTACCAGAAACGCTACGGACTCGGCCTGACAGCCCATTTCATCCTCCCCCTCAGACTCAGTCTCTGAGTTGTCGTGACGGGGAGTGGAAGTGCCACTCTCAGGAGGTGCCCTGCTCCTTGAAGCCCTTCTGGTTGGGCAGCAGCACTGAATGCAAAGGATACAGCGAACAAATTTCTTGAACATTCGCCCTGCAATCCCACACACACTGAGGGTGGAGGACCCACATAGCCAAGCGGCTGTGGCACACCTTGCCACCGGTCCTTTACCCGCCTCATCTTGCAAATCAAATTCGAGATGGCGGGGGATAACTGCGGCTGCTACCACATGCGTGCAATCGTCATCCGGTTGTCCGCACGGGGTTTGGGAGCACAAGTGCACTCTGCAATCCATTCCCTCCAATTGATTCCTGTAATAGCGATGCGATGAGGAGTGGACCGTGTCACATTCAGCTCGGAACCCGTACCGATGGGTCCTTCCCCTCAGCGTGCCATGTCGGAGTCTCGCTATAGCCGTCCCATCGGTGACCAGGAGGTCCACGGGCTCTCTGCCCTCTCCTCTTCCGCGGACTTCCTGCTGCGCAAACCCGGAAGTCCACTCCTCCCGACCTCTTGGTCCGACCCACTTGGGTCGGAAGACCCGCACTCCATGGATCTGAGCTAGCTCATACCACTGCCCATGCCCAGTGAGGTATCGACCGAAAGCCACGCTGTGCCTGTAGACGGGTATTACGATCCAATTGCAAGTCCAAACCAGGAGCTGTAAGAGGAACACTGCCACTACGGCAGTGGCAAGCCAGTACGACCACCGGGCAGCTAACCCGATGGACGCGCACAGCGTGCCGCAGTAGTTGAGACTCACATAAGCGGCATCCGAGAGAAGTTGGAAGCTAAGATGGATCAGCCAGGCGAACCTCCCTGGCCACCATCCCTCCTCCTTTGGTCCTTGTTGGGGTTTTGAACCCGGGCGCAAGGGCGCACCTCGGGTCTCACCCGTCGGAGTGGATCCTGCCTTACAATCCTCACCAGCTGCACACGCATCGCTGCTGCTGTTCGTGAAGTAGGGGATCCCTAGGTTTCCCATCCCCCAGGATTGGGAAATCCGCGCCACAGGGTCACATGCCAGGAGCAGGATCGCTAGCACCGAACGTGGTACCAACATGTCGCCCCAACCCCCGGCACTCTAAAACCCTGAGGCCTATGAACCAAAAGGTGAGACCAGCAGCGATCGAAGAAAACCCCGCACACGCAAGCTAAATGCCTAAATTTCCATTACTACATTTGTGCTACAAACTGGCCACTTCTGAGCCCAGCTCCGAAAAGCTCTTTCCCGTACTACATTTGCACTACAAACTGGCCACTTCTGAGTCCAGCTCCGAAAAGCTCTTTCCTGCACTACATTTACACTACGGACTGGCCACTTCTGAGTCCAGCTTCCAGCTCCGATAAGCTCTTTCCCGTACTACATTTGCACTACAAACTGGCCACTTCTGAGTCCAGCTCCGAAAAGCTCTTTCCCGTACTACATTTGCACTGGCCACGTCTGAGTCCAGCTCCACAAGTGAAGCGCCAAGTCTCCAAAATTGAGCGTTTCGTACGAGACTTCCTCTGGGCACCGCGCCGCGTGGCGAAATTACGTCCGTGATGTCGCAGTGCCATGCGGATGCGCACGGCCTTGGTGGAAAGTGCGTTTGCGTGGCTCCGTGCCACTGGGGAGCGCGAAACATGCTTCTGGGGAGCGCGAAACATGCTGGCGTAAACGCGGCGTGTCGCTGGTGAGCGGGATGAGTCTGTGACACGCGGTGTGTGGAAATTACGCCCGTAATGTCGCTGCGCCATGGGGATTTGCGCGGCCTTGGCGGAAAGTGCGTTTGCGTGGCGCCGTGCCACTGGGGAGCGCGAAACATGCTGGCGTCGCTGGTGAGCGGGACGATTGGCGGTATTACGCGATACATTTGCGTTTAGTCTGGGACACGCGGTGTTGCGAAATTACGTCTGCGATGTCGCTGCACCACGCGGATTTGCGCGGCCTTGGTGGAAAGTGAGTTTCCGTGGCGTGCCACTGGGGAGCACCAAACATGCTGGTGTAAACGCGGCGTGTCGCTGGTGAGCAGGATGATTGGCGGTATCGTGCGATATGATTGTCTGTAGTGTGTGGGCACTTTGATGGGCTGTGGTTTTAGTAGTAGGTTACTTGCTTTAAAGGCTTTGCTAAGCATTTGCTATGTTCCTACTAAGTTTGTAATAACTTGTTGCAACTTGTTCTAACAAGTTACAATGTTTCTAAACTGTTACAAGAATAGACATGATTATATAAATTTTAGTTAACTCATATATGTATGTTAGTTTTTTAATTGAGTTAATACACAAATTTTATTGTTTAGTGTGTTTTAGCAAGTTTATGTGTTTTAGCTAACTAGTTACTAATTTTGCCAAATGCTTCAATCACGCTATGTTGCATTGCCTGTGAGAACAAGCTTGAAAAAAACACATCTCAGCATCGAAGCTTGGGAAGTATTTTTTGTATATAAGCTGGAGCGCGCAGCAACATGCACAGCCAAAAGAGCAAAAGGCAGTGATTTTTCACTAGATGAACCGTTGCCACTACAGGCTTGAACTTTGCCACCACAGGCTTGCTTTGCTTTGAAGTGCAGCCATTACAGGCATTTAGGTCTTGTTTTGGAACCTTGCGCAATGCATTTCCTTGTTGTTGGTGGTTCTGGCTGCAAGGGTAGCACAGCACCACACACCTCACTGTATAGAGGAGCCCCAGTAGTGCTGGCACAGCAATGAATGCTGATGCTGTGAAAGCTATTGAATTTTTCAGAGATGATAGGTCTCTTGGCATACAGAACAAGGCCAGGAAAATGCTGGAGGTACTTGGCAAGAATGGGCTGGTATATGAGCAGGAGATCCACACCAGCCAACTCAGTGTGCATCCACACAACCGCTCTGGTGGCATGGTCAATGCTGCTGATGTGCATAGCAGGGGCTGCCAGGCTTTGAAAGTGGGATGGGCGAATGAGAGGTTGAGTGAAAGCTGGTGCATAGAGCTCAGCATCGAGAAGAAGACAAGAGATGCCCAGCTCAAGGCCATGGAAATGCTGGTAGAAGGGGCTGATGGCAAACTTGCACCCCTGGCTGGCAAAGAAAGGTGGCTTACATTGAGCTCAAGCCACATGAGTCAGTTTGTGAAGTCTGTCCATGCTGGATGTCAAACTGAAGAGGAAGCCTTTGACAAGGTTTTTTCTGCAGAGCACATCATGCAGGAGTACCAGGACCCTGCTTTTGCAAAGGCTTTGAATGTTGGCTGGACTTGGGAATGCCTTGCTGCCACAGTAGAAGTTGAAGCACCATGGTTTCCAGCCTTTTTGCAAGCAGCTTTGAACTCCTCCAACCACATTGCTGGCCAAGTGACAGAAATGGAGCTGGCCATGTCAATGGCTATGAACTATGCCAGAACACACAATTTGGAAGATTCTGTGGAAGCTTGCCAGTCCTATTCACCTTTGCGCTACTTGGATGTGGTTGGTGAGTTTGTGGCACACCATGGGGGAGGCGCTGGCTTCCCTGTTATCAAGCTGCTGTCTGCCATAGAAACAACTTTTGGAGGATCAATGATGCTGGGAGAAGAGCTCTTCACTGCAATAGTGAAAACAGACTTTGGGAAGGAATCTTCTTTTCCCATGGTTCGATGTTGCTTCATGGCAGCAGCTTTGAGTAGCGCCAAGCAAAGGGATGGCATAAGCAGATTGCTGGTTCGATCTGACATTGACAAAATGAAGTCAGCAGCCAACAAAGAGAATTTGCTGCCCACAGAGAAGATGGCCACACTGCTGCTGGAAGATTTGCAAAAGTCTCCCAAGGGCCTGCTTCACAAGGACCATGTCAAGCTGCTGGGGCGCTTCTTGATCAGAACTGCCTTATGGCTTTGCAGGAAAGAGGGCAAGGGAAGGGAAGCAAAAGTGTTTGGCTCCTTGTCTGAGATACATTCTGCCTACCAGTCTGAATTGGACACTTTGCAGAGAACTGGAAGCCTTGGAGATGTTTCTGCTGCTTCTGGTGGTGATGGAGATGATGCTGCTGGTGGAGAGAGGGTGTTGGACCTGAAGGACCCCCAAAAAGTTGCATTGCTTGCAAGAAGTTCATCGTTTGCCAATACAGGCTTTCATATATAGCCTTCTGCGTTTGCATGCATGGTGCATTTCTGTCGGCAGGAAAGCAATGATGCCAAGACCATTGCTGAAGTGAGGTTCTCTTGGTTGAAGGCTGGCAAAATGTACCAGAAAAAGGACCACTTCTACATCTTTAGCCACTTCACAGCCACATGTGGTGTTTTCCAAGAGCTCAACCTGGCTGGTGACAAGACCCAGATGGCCAGAGCTCAAGAATTTCAGGGAGTCTGACAAAAAGGTGCCAAGTCTGCTGGCTCCTGAATTGGTCAAGAAATTGCAAATGGAGAACTCTGAGCATTGGGAGAACTCTGAGCATTGGGCTGCAGAGCTTGAGAAAGCCCAAGTGCAGGCAGCTCTCTTGGAGCACTACAAAGAGCACCTTGTTTGCAATGTTTGACTGCTTGTTGGTGAACATGGGGGGTGGGTGCAAGCTTGCTTCCAAACTTGCCTGCTCAGGAAGGGAAACTTGATTTGAACTTGCTGGCCTTCACCAACACCCACAAAGTGCTGGCTGCAAAGCAGATCAAGAATGTGCTGAAAGTTTTCCCTTATGGCAACATTACCAAAGTCAAGGCTGATAAGGTGGACAAGCTGGACAAGAAATCTGTGCTGGTGGTTCAGGGGACTGGTGCTAGGTACCAAATTTCAGCTCCCAGAGTGGATGTGGCCAAAGAAACTGGAAGCATACCAGTTTTCTTTTGGGTTGGTTGCACTGAGGAGGAGGAAGATGCCAATATGGAATTGGTGGAAAACAAATACAGTGGCTGGCTCACCATGCCATGCTTGAGATCTAAAGGTAAAATCGATGCAGGCTCCCAGCTCTTGTACTACAAGGCTCCACAAAAAGAGGAGCCAAAAGGGAAGAAGAGGAAAGCCAAGCAGGACATTTGAATAGCCTTGCTGGACACTTGGTGCATCTAGATCCAGTGTGTGGAAGCAGTGTGGTGGTGCTGAAAAAAGAAATTGAAAAGCAAATGTTGTTTGTGTATGCCAATGGCCAGCACAGGCTGTGCCATTTTGGAAAACAACCAACCTCATGCCAATACAGGCTTCTCTCTCTATATATATACTGTCATCCACACTATGTTGCACCATGCATGGGCTCAAAACTAGCCAGCAAAGTTTTGACTGAGTGTATAGGCTGTTGTGGCCCAGGCCTTGCTGTACTTGGTCTGTACTGCTGGCAATGGTGGAAATTGAGGAAAGGCTTGCCATGTCCTTTCAAGGAGGGACAATGGTGCAAATACCAAAAGCATTGGTGGTGGAGTCTGGTGGCCAAAAGTTTTTCAAGCTCCAATGCACCCACCCTGCAGTGTGCAAACTGCTGTGTGGTCAAAATACAGCCTTGTTCCAGGGCAGCAAGAACCCAAGCATGGCAGGAAGCTCCAGGCTGCAGATGCTAAAGGATTCTGTGCAACAGGCCTTGCGCAATGCTGTGATGCCACCTGAGCCTGCTGGTGTCTTTGAAGATGAAAAAGGTGCAGGCAACCCACCAAAAAAAAGGCAAAAAAAATTGCCTCACCCTGATTCCTTGGAGGTGGATGTTTGTGGAAGCAAAGTTGTTGTCTTGACACCTCAGAACTTCAAGGCCCAGGATGTGTTTGTGCTGATGGACAAGGAGATGCTGGAGAATGTCTTTGGGTTTCTGCACAAGGACAGGTTCGGGTGCCAGAAAGAGGCCATACAGCAAGAGGGGGCAAAGCAAGGCTGATAGTGATGACCCTGGCTCAGAAGACAAGGATGAATGATATGATGGATGGTGAGAAAAAAGAAACTTGTGAGCGACCCTTGTCAAAACAGTCTTCTTAATTTTGTGTGCTTGCTTTGCCAATAGAGTCTTGTGCCGACAACGCGCGCCGCAGCCCCTTCTGGAGGCTCTGGATACTGCGCCTGCCACGCGGCAGGCAGCCAGCGGCACCAGCGGCGACAACGCGCGCCGCAGGCCCTCCTGGAGGCTCTGGCTACTGCGCCTGCCACGAGGACAGCCAGCGGCAACAGCGGCGACAACGCGCGCCGCAGGCCCTTCTGGAGGCTCTGGATACTGCGCCTGCCACGCGGAAGGCAGCCAGCGGCACCAGCGGCGACAACCCGCGCCGCAGGCCCTTCTGGAGGCTCTGGATACTGCGCCTGCCACGCGGAAGGCAGCCGGCGGCACCAGCGGCGACAACGCGCGCCGCAGCCCCTTCTGCAGTCTCTGGAGACTGCGCCGGCCACTGCGGTTTTCCGGTGTGACAAGAAGGGCGAATAGATGAAGCTGTGAGTGGATGTGTGAGATGAGAAGAAGTGTGTGTCAGATGATGAAATGACAAGCTGAGTGTGTGTGTCAGATGATCACAAGTCACAAGATGAGTGTGTGTCAGATGATCACAAGTCACAAGATGATTGTGTGTGTAACAGAAGGACGGAGGGAAGGAGCGAGGGACGGAGGGAGGGACGGGCGGGCGGAGTCGGGCGGGATGGCAGCCAAAAAACTAGAACCCCACACAGAGATGTGGGGAATAATCATTTAAATAAATATGATAATCATGTTAACCTACTACTAAAGCCACAGCCCATCAAAGCAGTGGGCAGACCGTGTGGCGAAACTACGTTCGCGATGTCGCTGCGCCATGCAGATTTGCGGTTGCGTGGCGCCGTGCCACTGGGGAGCGCGAAACATGCTTGGTGTAAACGCGGCGCGTCGCTGGTGAGCGGGAGGATTGGCGGTATCGCGCTAGGCTTGGGTCTAGTGTGGGCAGACCGTGTGGCAAATTACGTCCGTGATGTCGCTGTGCCATGCGGATCTACGCGGTCTCGGTGGAAAGTGTGTTTGCGCGGCGCCGTGCCAATGGCTGGCGTAAACGCGGCGTCGCTGGTGAGCGGGATGATTGATGGTATTACGTGATGCGTTTGCTTTTCGTTTCTTCACTGTACCACCGTATGAAGAATGGACTTGTCGAGACCTGGACACCAGTCGGCATTGGTTCTATCGCAGTTGGTTCCTACACGATCGTTTGGGACCATCCGGAGGTGGGTTTTTAAGCAGACCACCGGTTACTTCCTTGACCAACATCCCTATACGAGCTGGCATGATTTTCACTATGGGGCGTGGTACGCTCGAGGATGGCAGTTTGTCATGGCACAACCCAGTCTTCCCCTTTGGGAAGCTTGCGATCGCTGGGAACACGCTGTCTATGAGCAGGAACAACGACTCTTGGCACAACAACAGCGTGCCCCCTTGGACTCTCACGGCGTGAAAAATTTGGAGAACGAACGTCTGGACCTTTTGGCGCAGAGTCTGGTTAAACGATTCCCAGCCCTTGACGTTTCTGGGAACCCTGAACTTCGAAGCCTCACTCCTGACCTACAGCATCAGCTTATCGATGGTTTGATCCACAACCTTTCCAGCTACCAGCAGGATTTGAGCGCCGCCACTGTCATCGGACCAATTCTTTCAGATCCACGTCGGGAACCCTCTCAGGCCGCTGCCCCCTCCCAGCTTGCTGGCACTGTACCAGCAATGAACGTTCCAGTATACCGAGCTCAGGATCGGGATCTATGTCGTTGACGTCCTCTTCGATTTCTCCAACCCCTATGTTACCTCCTCCATACACTGAGGACCATGCCTGATTGCCTGATTGCCACATTCGAGACCGTGCGCGCTTCCTACTTTTCTACTTCGAAGCGTCCCTTTTTAGTGCGATCTTCTGCGGCGCCGCGGATCTCAAAACAGCGCATGGTTTCCTGCACCCGTTCTCATCCTTTGACAACGTTCCACTTTGTGGTGGTTTTTCCATTTTTCCCTGTGATTCCGTTGATCCCACACCGGTTATATTCGTCCTTGACTTCGACTCAATACCCCCCTGCGGTTCTCCCACTGGTATTTTTCCTTTACATCCTCTTACTCAAACAATTCCCACAGATTGGAATGAAGTACGACGTCCTTTTGAGACCCTGGGCCAAGACCCCCAATTTGCTTACTGTTCGCTTTGAACTTGACGTCAGTCTCCTGGTCCACCAGCCGTTGCACTACATCACCGTAACTCTGACTGCAGGTCAGATTGAAGACGAGGAATACACGGTCGATGATCTCAAGGATGTGATCTTCTCCCGCTTGGGCCAGAATCGCTCATCCTTCTGGATGGCCCTGCCCTCTTTGTAGTTTGGAGAACTTGGTGCTTTACTACGTGAACTCGAAACGTCTACACCCCATTCGTTATATTCATGAATTCTCACGTGAGGGAACCCCCTTCCATACCGTCCCCTGCACACTAACTATCGCCCCTCATCTTCATGATGTTGCCATTGGCCAACTCCGGCTTCCGTTGACGGCCTACCAGGCCTTCCGTGAGATTCACCGCTTCTCGTAGGATCTTTTCGCCAAACCTCACCCTCGTCCGGAGCTTGAATGAAAAAGAATGCCTCCTGTCGGGGAGGCGTGTGTGTGTGCGTGCCCCTTGGAATCACAGGGATCCTGCAGGATTGTTTTGCTTCTTGGTGTTCTTTCAGCAGGGGCTAGCGGCCCATTTCTTGACGCTGGCCAACGAAGTTAGAGAAATGGGTGGATGAGTCTGTGGGCGCACAGACTTGTACCTGCGATGGTTTGAACTTTTGAACAAGCTGTGACCCCAATCTCCTGTAAAGTGCTAATGAGCTTGGCAGACATGAGCGGACGTCGTCATTTTGCTCGTCGCTTCCGGTTCCTTGAGTTTTTGGACCTTTCTCCTTTTGAAGACCTCCAGGATCCGTTGGTTCTTACTTGTACTCTTAGGAAATGGTTACCTAGGCCGGCGTGTGGCAAACCGCTTTCAAATCTACGCAATTCTATAAGCGTGTCAACTCCCGTTTCTAGGGTTTCTATTGCAACAGTCCATCACCGTACTCCAGCCTTGGAACAAACAGTGTCGCACTTTATGCAGCGTCGGCTTCGCCCGTATACGCGTGATCTGTCAACATGTGTTTCCTCACGAGCTACAACTGGCACAGATCCAGGGCTTGATCGCATTCTACTGTACAAGAAGGATCCGGCCGTCCAGACAGGCGTCCAGCCCCAAACCAATTCTTTGACTTTCTGGCTTCGTAAACTCGTGTGTCTTAGGAGTCTTCGGATTCGTTCCGTGCGTTAAGATGATTTTCTCCTGTGCCCTCCACGGGAGGGAGGTGTGCGCGCGCGTGTAAACCGCTTTCACAAGCGGAGACATTTAAATCACAATCTACTTACGCAGGGTCATGTCCAACGAAGCTACCTGATTGCACTGGATGTGAGAGCTGATCCCTCTCATGTACCTGCAGTTTGCCCGTTTCTGATATGGCAAGAGAGGCTAAGCCCTCGCGCTGCATCACTTTAGAACAACTTGTTCGTCCACACGTTCTAGTATTGTGCTTCTGGGATTTTGTTGAAGCTCTACCATCATAGTGTGTGTGTGTGCGTCAACCTCTGTAACTAAGAGCACTTGCGTTCGCAGGGGCATGTGACACTCTTATCCTATCACACGCAACGAAGCTGTGGATAAGAGTGGGAAGGGAAACTTGGCCAGTTTCCTGTACCTGCGACGCAACTGTTGATCACGCTGTCCACTCCTTTGGTTTGATTCATGGTTTTTCATGCGATCCTTCCCCCAAACAGGTTTCCCACCGCAGTTTTCAGCCGCTCGTGAGTTGCAGCCAGCCGCACGAGAGTTCGACCGCTGAGTACAACAATTGTTCAACGTTTCAAGCGACCTGACTTTCTCGCCTTGCTGTTCCCTCACCTTTTTCCACTTGGGAATAGATTAACTGACTGAAAACCAATGTCAGAGTGTGAACCGCTCAGTCGTCCCACTTGGGTGCTGGGTGTGATCCCCGTCACTAGGGCGCTGAATTCATGCTGGAAATCGTGTAACAGCTTTCCTTTTTCCACCATACCTTGGATT